AGTCCCAGCAAACTAATTTGAACAGATCTGATATTAGTGTGCAGAGATGATGAGGCAGGAGAGAGAAACCCTGAGGTCAGTCAGGGCCTTATCATAATACCCAGGTGTTAGGTAAGAGCTGTTCTACTAGGTAGGGTTAGAGGAAATGAGAAGAAAAAGAAAGAATTGTTATTGCTACTGAGGAAGGAAGAATAACTCTCGGTGTTTCATTAAATGTGTGAAGTTGGAGAAGAAGAGTAACACCTGATGATAAAATGTCAGTCCCAGGTGACATGGAAGATGGTAAGTGGCACCACGAGCCAAGAGACAAAAATTGGTATGATAAGATGTTTTAGCAAAAGAACAGTTGATTTTAGCAAAATAGTTTCTATGCCATTATGTAATTGATATATTTTTAAGAACACCTGCAGAGGGTGGGTTGTAGCTCAGTGGAACAGCGCTTGACTAGCATGTGTGAGGCACTTAGTTTGATTCTTAGCACCACATATAAATAAATAAAATAAAGCTTCATTGACAACTAAAAAGTATTTTAAAACCAAAAAAAAGAACACTTGCATTACCAATTTTTTTTTCAAAAATATGTTTAATGGAAGAAAAGGTTAGTTTAGGGGCTAGGGTTTCAGGCCCAAATGACAAAGTAATTTTTTATGAAGAAATTTCAATAGTGAACTTTTGTCTGGGGTGGAGTTAATAAGTATATAACTACATAATCTACACATCACTAAACAAACCCTGCCCTTGACCTCCTCCACTTTTTAATCAAGAGTAATCATCCATCTTTCCTACAGGGACCAACATTATCATTAATAGAATTTTTACCCATCTCATAACCTTTATCATTCATTTTTATAATAAGGCACAGAACAACTTACACAAGGCAATTATGTTTGCCTTTAATAGCTTTTTACCTGTGCTAGTGGGCACAGTTTCCCAATCAAAATTTTTTTATAATATGAAATATATATTATTTTTTAAAGGGAGAGTAAAGTTTATTCCATTATATTCAGTGGTAAGAACAGAACTTACTTACTCTGTATATGTTTTTAAAAATCCACAGAAAAATCTTGTACACATTTTTTAAAAATCCAGAGGAAAAAAAGTACACAAAGATTATACCAAGAGGATAGAATTACTTGGAGTACTAGACAGCAAAAGTTACACTTCAGTCAGATCCCCAAGGTTTAGTATTTCTAGTTTGCAAATTCATTTTTACATCTGTTTCTGTGTTTCTAATCCTCTTTATTCTTCCTTCTGTACATTGCCTGAACAACAATGTTGGGGAAGAGGGCATAAATCAAACATACCAGTCCAAGTGCACTTGAATAACTCTTATTATGTAATTAGTAAAACATAATAAAATGTCTTTTTCAGATATACATGCTAGATGATAGTAAGAGTTGTGCTTCACATATATATAGTGCTGTGTCTCAAATGTATGTACAATATCAGCCACTAGGATTTATTTATTTGATCTTTGTAATTCTTCTTCTTCTTCTTTCTTTTTGTATAATTTTTAAAATTTAGAGTTTTTTAGATATACATGACAGTAGAATGTATTTTGATACGTTATACATACATGGAGCATAACTTATTCTAATTAGGATCCCATTCTTACGGTTGTATATAATGTGGAGTTTCACTAGTCATGTATTCATATATGAATATGGGAAAGTTACCTGTGATTCCTTCTAATATTAGGAAATATATATCATGAATAATGTCTGATGATAGAACAGATAACATCATAACCAATTTGACTTGTCAGAATTTCTATGGATCTTATTCTGGAATGTTTATCTGCCAATCAGGCTTAAAAATAACAGAGTACATATTATGAAAAAACATTGAAACTTGAGATTTTAGTAAGTAAAGATTTCAGGTTCAGAAAAGTAAACAGTCTTTCATGAAAGTATTTACAATTTCCCAAGCACAGGTAGGAGTTTCCTGAAAATCTAAAGAGGTATAACTTTACCAAGGTTAAGGTCAGAGATCAGAGCCAATCTCATCTCCCTCTGGATACTTTTATAAGGCACTGGATTGGGACTGTATCTCACATTTCAACCATTTATTCCTGTCATTTAATCAAGTCTCTCTATATTCCTTTAAGTCTTCCAAGCTTTATGTCTCTCAGATTTAGAGTCAAATACTCTAGATGTAGATCAGAACTTCAGGTTTTATCACAGTTTTAAAAGAAGCATACACCATAAAAGAGAAAGAGTGTAATGTTCACCACTTACAGAGAACTCAGGTTATGTAGCATTGGTAAGCCTTCATATGCACCGGAAAGGAAAAGTAAAATATTTGGAAGTAAAAAGTGAAACCCAAGGGGGTCATAGGAAGAAGACGGTGAAGACGAGTGATTCACTTTATTGTAAAGTTCCACTATGAGCGGCACAAGAGCAGGTATCATAGTGGTTTACCACCACAGACTCAGCACTCAAGGTACCCCAATTTTTGTCAAAGAAAGGACAAAACAGAAAGAGGGAGGAAGGGAAAGAAGACACAGAAGAAGGAGGGGAGAGACTTGGATTTGAGCTCAGGAAGACAGTGTCCTGGAGATAATGGCCAAGAGGCTTCCATTTGGAATGATAAATTATGGAAAACAGTGGCATGACATGAATGTCACTGAAATGTGCACTTAAAAATATATAAAAAGTCAACTTTTCTGCTATGTATATTTTGTCACATAAAAAAAATAATCAAACTCCTCTGTGTTCCCGAACTTTCAACAAAGTCTTCTAGACATATAAATCGACTTAGTGGAAATCAAGAAAAGAAAGTGATGTTAAATGCCTAAATTGGAGGAGTCTGAAGAAAAACAGACTATAAAATAGGATGAAGAGCCACAAAATGATCTAATTCTTCTGAAGTGGATGCTTAGAGCCAAAGATAAGACAAAAGTAAGACACTGTCCCCAGCCTCTCCATTAGCACAGTCCCCAGAGATGCTGGAAGCAGCCAGGACTGCCAGCAAGCAGAGGAGGAAGATAAAGCTAATTGAATTTCAGTATCAGGAGACAGGAGCCCTCAGTTGATACCAGGGTTCCACATATATTATTCTAGTGTATTCCTGAAAACAGAGGCAGAAGGTGCTATCAGTATCCCTGGTGCACAGATGAGCTTTAACTAAGGCGCAACCAAATGACGGAACCCACAGAAGTTGTGCTTCTTCCCCAGGGCGATAGGATATTGGATACAAATTACATTTCTAGGCCCTAGGCTAAGAAGAGAAAGAAATCATCATGACCCAATCTTTTAAAAGACTGTTCTCCAAAACAAACTTTGAAACTTGTCAATTTATTATTTAATAAGGCAAAGAACACAGAGAACTTTCCAAGTTCAAGTACAAATAGAATAGCTCTAATGACAAAACAAAAAAGATTCCCCAAACAGAAATGAAAGCAAGAAATAGCTTGGCAAGGCCCCTGCAATGCCTTTGAATGTTCACACTCCCACTGTAAACAGCCTGAGCGAGAGTTTGTTCACATCAGACGGTAAAACCTGAGTCATTATTTACTATTAATATATTAGTCTGTTAGAGGGGATTTGCCATTTAAATAAAAACAGAAAGAGAAAGCATCTTTGTCCTTATGTTTTTATTGAAATCTAGAAAGCCGTAAAACCAAAAGAGAAATACATTTTTAAAAAATAGTCTCCAAGTCTCTGAAGAACATGGAATTTTCCAAATCATTTGTGAAATAAACTGAAATAAATAGATAAAAATCACGCAGCTCAGAGAGGGCCACTTAGAGTCCCCCATGATTTGTATTTAGAATAAACCAGATACTTCTGAAAGCCAGAGTATTTCTATTAAAAAGAGGGAACATGGACACAATGTGACTAGAAACCACATCTTTCTTTTGTGAGAAATTAAGGTGAATCTCATAAAGCCTTTCTCTGATGATAGAGACCCCTACAGCCAAAGGGAAAAGTTGAACATATTACATCTGTACAGAAATCATCTAAACATTTTGCCTCTGAAAAACCATCAGTGAAATAAAAAATAAAATAAAATAAAAACATTTTGCACCGGCAACCAGACCCCTGGTCAGATTCCCTAGGAGGCACTGCCCCTGCAGCTATGAGAAGAGGCATCCATTGATCCTGGTATGTGTACCTCACACATTTCTGTTTTCTGTAAAAACCACCTGCTTCTATTTTTCCTTGAGTGATTCTGAAAAGAAAATATAGAAGTGTATTTCTGGACATAACAGAGGAGAAGGACAGAAGCAAACCAACCAGTAGCCAGCTTTCCCTTTCTAATAAAGGCAAAAGGGGTTATCTCATGGACTCCCCACCCATCAGGTGCTTTGTTTGATCAGTGAAAGCAAGAAATAAGATTCTGAGTATTAAAATAGGTCCAAATGTTCCTGAGATTCTCTTTCAGTCTCTCTGACCCCCACATACATGGAACTGGTATTGACTGAGAGCATGCTTGGCGGGGGGGGGGGGGTCTTCCGATTTCTAAGGGAGAAGAGGATAAAGATGGAACTGCCCTTTGGATGCAATGAATCTCAGGACCTGAGAATCGACTTCTCTTCCTTCCTCCTGCTCCCTCAGTCCCAGCTGATCATGGAGGAATCTTTTCAAAGGTTTCCACTGTCATCTTCTGATTAAGCAAGACTCTGAACCTTTGATTGACTCTGAACCTCTAATCCATTTGTCCCTTCTCTTTACAACTCTCTGAAGTACCTTGTTTCTTGGGCAACTTTTCTTTTTCCTCTATGGAAGCAATTATGCCCCTAAAATTGGCGGAAAATGTAGAGGAAAATTTACCCCATCAAATTTCACAAACCTCACTTCACCCTGCAGTCAGAGACTCTCTGAATAAATAAAAACGTAAAGTAATCCCTTGCTTGTTTGTGGAACACAATGACTAAACCCATACTCTAGCTTCAGGGGAAAAAAAAAAAAAAAAACAGGCCCCAATTCAGCAATGGATGATTCACAGTCAACTAAAACCCTTTAAAATAAAGAACTCTGCTGAGACATAATGTTTGCAATGCCAACTAATGCAAGTTTATTGAGAAATATATAGTGAGACAAGCTCCCTTCTTCAAAGATGCAAAAGCAGAAGCCAGGAGATACAGCAGCAAGGTCAAAACATGTCAAAAGCATCAGGACTGGGCTGTGGGTAGTAAAGCCTCCGGAAACATGGAGAGGCATCCACAGCACCAGGCATCAACCCTTAAAATAATCTTAGTGCTGGCCAGAAAAATTTTACAGGGCCGAAATGAGCAGCCAGCAAAGAGCAGTCCATGGGGGTCAGCAATGGAGTTGGTCGGGCAGCATGCTGGGAGATCCTGGAAACACAGCTGGCAGGGCGTGGAGTCTTGATTCACTCACTGGCTCGAACACACTCAGCAAGTTCTTCGGCAGCTGGACACACAGGACTGCTGGTACGTCCTAGAGACCCCACAGGATGGTTGGCAGATAGTGGAGACTCCTCCCACTGGTTGGCAGGAAGAAGAGATGCCACCCACTGGTTGGCAGACGCTGGAAATGCCTCCCAGAGGCTGACAGCCACTGGACACAAAGGTGAGTGGCCGGCTGCAGGGAGTTGAGCAGGAATTGGAGACACAGGTCGTTTGTCTAGAGCAAGTTACCTGGACAGGACTGGAGATGCAAGAAGTTCTCTGGTAACACGTCGGCTGGCAAACTGTGGGCTCACAGTTGGACTCCTGACAGTGGTCCAGGAGCCAAGAGCCAGTTTGGAAAGAACTGGGCAAATAGATGCCACTCAGGCAGTCAACATCACGGGCTGAAGCAGCGGCGACTGGGGCCACCGGGTTAGCACAGAGTCCTCCGATTGGCCTGGAAGAGCAATTTCTTGTAGAGCAGTTGAAGGACATGATGCTTGATGGCTGCAGGTATCTCACCAAAGTTAGCTTCTGAATTGTGAATGTCCCTTGAGACTCCTGAGCTTTTATATATCCTTGCTAGTGGGTGGGGCTCCGTCTCTGTTCTCCCACCTTCTTTGGCTCATACCCACTTGCTTTAGAACATCTCGTGAATCTACAAGTTAATTGTCTCTTGAGAAGCCTTCCCCCTCATAAAGAAAGTTTAGTAGTTTGGTAACTAAATCATAAGTCTCCTGCACTGTACTTACTCCAGATGAAGAAGGTTGGTTGACAGCTTCAAAGCTGTTGGTCATTCCCTGCCCACATTTTGTGTCTCATTCATCTTGCTTGCATATGATGAGTGTGAATCTGACTGCGACACCAAACATGCCACTGTGCTACCATCACACACTCTCTCCCTTCTGACCAGAGCTAATTACAAGCCCACACTATGTTTGGTTTGTCATTGGCACTTAATATGTTTTAAACATAACTTAATCAGTCACTCTTCCATAGCTAACGGGGCTTCTCATTGGAGAGGTGCCTCCTTGAATATATTTCAAGATGACAATGACGAGAACTGTCAGGAAAAAGGACAGGACACAAAGACTTGTATCCAAAGCAGAAACTGGCTTTTAAAATGATCCCATCTGATTCAAATGTATGATATGTCAAGATCATTGTACTGTCATGTGTAATTAATTAAAACAAATTTTAAAAATATCTTAAAAAAAGGAAAAAAAAATTAATAAGCTGACCAAAACTAGATGTCCACAGGAAGGTTAGAAGGCAGAGGGATCCATCCTTTGTGTTAAGGCTAGAGACCAGGAGGACCCACCCTTTATGTTCACGCAATCAAGAAAATCAGATGCTAATTAACTGCATTTGTAGTTTCGACCCTTTCTAAATAAATTGGATGAGCTTTATTCCTGAGATTTTTAATCTAATAACAGTGGATAATAGTGACTCGTGGACCTCATTGATATGCCAGTGGAATAGGCTTAGTTGATTTTTAAATTATTGTAATGTTAATTTGAAGGGGTATAGTGTCTTTCTCCCAATTTGCTCAACATATTCAAAACATATTTATTTTCACATGAGTACTTACAGATAGAATGCATTTTAATCATGGACAAACTGAAGACACTGCAAGGTCGCCATCACTATGGAGGGTAAGGGTAGGTAAGGGTGGGAGGACACAGGCACTTAATCAATGCTTGTAAAGAATGGATATGCAAAGAGTTTTCTATAATGGTTAATTACCCCTTTATGCCTGGGGAAACTGCAAGGGTATTTTTCATCTTTATCTCATCTCACTACGACATAGTCAGCTCTGAACCCAAAAATGATTGCTTCCTTTGGTTCCCCTGTACCCAGGTGAATCAACCGCTTTGACTCTGGCAAAATAAATCTCTTTAACATCACTCAAGGGATCAGTGATATTTCTACCTCAAAACAGAAGTAAGATCTGACTCATTTCGCAAACTGGCTTACGTGGGGTGCAATAATGGATTCACGTATATTTGAGGGCTGCGGGTAGGCTATGATTTAAATATCCACAAAGCAAACAGCTGTATGTCAGAACCCATCAGAAGTCCCCTGGCAAAAGCTTCATTCCTCTAATTGGAGGCTAATGATGCCCTTAAACAAGAGGATGCCGTGCTGTGGGCTACACTGTCATTCCCAGGGACAAGCCCTCAGTGACTTGAAGAGCATTCTCAGGAAGATGGTGAAATTAATGAGATGACTACTTTCCACAATGTCGTGACTATGCTCTTCCCACCATTAACAATGTCCCAGTTGGTGTTTGAAGGTCGAGTCCCTGGTCACAGGACCTGGCTTTACTTGCTTTAAAATGGATGAGTAGTTTACAAGCTTCTACCAGCCAAGGATGTGGAGGTTATGATGGAAGTGTACCCAACTATGCAAATACCAAAATAGTGAAGTCCGCCATGGTGTTACACAGGAGAATCTTTGGTATCTACAGTCACATTCTTAGAACGGTAGAGATTTTATAAGCCATTACTCTGTCTTGATTCAAGTCTTCCATTGAAATTTGGAAATTACACACAAAGGATTCTAGAAAATATCTTCCCTCCGCTTCAGGAGGAAAGGAAGCACATGGCTCTCTTCCAGGTGCTAAGTCTGAGGCTCTGCATACCCCCTTTCATTGAGTCCTACCCACAACTCTGTGGAATAGGTGTCCTGCCTCATTAAAGAGATGAAGTTCAGGGACATTGAGTGCCCACTAAAGTTATGCTGTTTATGAAACAAAGCCTATGAGCCACCAACACACAATGGAACTATTTACACATGCTGGGATGCCTTCATTGGAGTGTGAACAAGAATTTGTTTCTTAAAAACTCAATCAATGCTTCATTGATGATATGATGAGGGAAATAGCTTTCATCTCTTTTCCAGGTTCATCAATTGATTAGCAATGAAAATAAAAAGAATACTAAGTTACAAGTACTGCTGTCCTTACACTTCTTGTGTGTGTGTGTGCGTGTGTGTGTGTGTGTGTTTCCATTCCGTATACAATTTAACAATTTTTACTCCATTAGAGTAAGATGCAATGTCACTATAAACAAAGCAAGAACAGAGAGCCATCAATAGCTTGAAGCTACAATTTGAATTTGCAGTTATTTATAATGGCTATGTAAACCACTAATTTTCAGAGAATAGCTGGGTGGTGAGCTAATTTTTTTCACTCCTATCCATTTTCCAGAGAACCTGCATTTTGCAGGTGCTAAAGAAGGCAATCTGTTGAGCAGATCCCTTAGATTTTAATTACCAAAATAAATCATTGGTTTGGCTTACTGAGACCCAAAAAAGATCGTTCATATCTCTATTCTCTGAAACACACTCTCCAGTACAGAGTTTGGGGAGCTAGCTAATACTCTCATGAATTCTATTTTCAGATGCAAGCATTTTCAACTCTATTTGGGTTCATTGTAAGTTGCAAAAGTAAAGAAACACTTATTGAATTTTATGTGAAACTCAAAGAAACTCTACAAAATTCTAATTTGACAATGTGGTTAAATGAAATTAATAAATCACCCTTTCATTCGAAATTGTAAGAAAAAAATTATACAGTTAGCCAGCCACTATCACTACATGCAGTACAAAAATTCCAGCTCAGCAAAAAGGCTTGTGAAGATTATTCTTTCATCTGCAGAGCATAAAGTGAGGAGAGAATGTGATGGGAGCAGATGAGAAGAGATCAGAGAACCACTACCCATTATCTTCATCACTGATGGGTAATTTGCTCTCATTTGTATAGAACAATCTAACTCTTATACAATAATTATCACAGTCTGGAAATGAGCAATTCTTTCATTCAAAACTGAATCAGAGCAATCACTTGCAAGGCCATGCATTCAAAATTAAAATGAGTTCAGCAGGTGTGGGAGGCTGAAGGTTGGATATGCAGAGAGGATATTTTTCATCACAAAGATGGCAAGAAGGTTGACCTTAGCACTTAGCAGCAACAGTGAAGTTGGGGGACAAACTAATAAATGCAAAGTGAACTTTGCTCATTCTATACTTTTGGGGGCTGATCACCCTCACAAATTGAAGGTATTCATTGTATCTTAAGAAATATCAAATGAAAATTCAAACATTCAAGCACAGTATAGTATTATGGTTGTTTAAAAAATTAAATATATCACTGGGCACGGTGGTGCCCACCTGTAATCCCAGTGAGTCAGGAGGCCAAGGCAGTAGACTGAAAGTTCAAGACCAGCCTCAGCAACTTAGCAAGACCCTAAGCAAATTAGCAAGATCCTGTCTCAGAGTAAAAAATAAAAAGTGCTGGAAATGTGTTCCAAAAGAATAAACACCCCTGGGTTCAATTCCCAGTGACAATAAATTAATTATTAATTAATTAATTAATCAAAAATTAAGTACATGTTGACTGAGTTGTCCTGTTTTGGTTTTTCTTTTATTCAACTTTACGTAGACTCTAGGTTGATTCAGAACCCTTACTGAGATACGATAAACACCTGAAATCTGAGTGATTTGCACCGCAAAACTCAACTGAAAATTTATTTTCCAAATTTTATGAAAAAGCATCAATCATAAGAAAAGCTGGATCACTTGGGTTGGTGGGACCTGCAGGGCAGAAAGCAGAAAGGGGAACAAACAAGCAAACCAGAGAAACTGCTGCCTCTGTAGCTTGAAAACAACAGTCCCCAGTGACATGACCCGTATAAACATCAACCCTCAGAGGGGAGGGTCAAGGCTGACAAATCCTAAATGGACCCATGCTCTCTCTCCTGATACCTGTTTTCAAATTCATTTTTCATATATGCCTTTAGTTGGGATCAAAATCAGGGAGGTGCCAAAAAAGGGAAGTAAGAACCTCAAGATATTTCGTCATGATACTTTCATGAGGGAAATCCCACTTGTGACTGACTGGCTAGTGCCCCGGCTCTGGTCTTCCAAGTAAACAGAGGTAAACCCACTTGGGCCCAGACACCAGAAAAGTATAGGACCTAAGGAGGAAGCACCAAGTCATTCGCTGGGTATCATCCATCCCTGATTCAGAATTATTCAGGGCCTCCTCGGCAAGGCTCTTAGAAGCTCTGTGGAAACAGGAAAAACAGTGGGGTCTCTTGCTCTCACCTCGCTGACCTGTGCTGTTTCCTTTGAACACAGCCCTCCTGGGGCTCACCTGCCTGTCAGCGGATGAGGAGCTCAGCATTAGCTCAGCTCTATCTCAAGCTGCTGTTCAGACTACCAGAGCTGGGAGTTTAAATTTGTCTAGTGCAATTCTCTCATCTCATTAAGGAATTAATTAAGAAATTAAATCCCAAAGAGGACTTAATTAATTCCTAAATAAGAAGTTAAATCCCAAAGAAGGTTTTGCAGGGTATCACACAATTTTGTGCACCACTTCCAAACTGTCCCGGGGGTCCCACTGTAGACTCTCTGTGCAAGGTTAAACCAGCTTCCTGGTGGTACAGAGTGGTGGCTTCCTGAAGTACAAGCAGTGCTTTTCTCCCTTTGGAACCACTATATACTTCTTGCTTCCCGCAGGTCTTCTGTGATGCCAGCACGTGATTCACGGGTGCT